ACATCTGAAAAGATTGTACAGTGGAACCTCGAGTGATGAGCAGCACCAGTTACGAGCATTTCGAGTAACAAGCAAGCCACTCACAGAAAATATGTCTCGACTGACGAGCTTTCGCTCGATTAATGAGTGTTCCCACTGGTTCTCGGACACCTCCGACGACAGTTTTGTTGTTGTTTTGCAAGATGAATTTTCCATATGACAAGCTCGGCGCTGGAATGGATTAAACTCGATAATCGAGGCGCCACTGTACTCCGAAATTCTTACTCTATTTCACCATCATAATTCTCCAGTAGTCCTTTGTGTGAGTTTCCGCTAGGGATGCAAACACTGCATTTTCATTATGTAGGAGGCCAGCTATAAAGTGAACTTTGTTAGATTTGTGTGTTTTTATACACTGAATGTTGGCAAATAAAAGTGTTATCGTGTTTGGAAGTGCTTGATGCTTTACTTAGTGTTAATATCTGAGGCTCTGGTAGGGAGGCCACTGTATTTGTGTCCTCTCTAGCATTTGACCAAGTTGGTGGTAGAATCTGGACATTTTTAGCCATTCTTGCTAAAAGCATTCTTGCTATGCTCTTGCTAAAAGCTCATCCTGGTAAAAAGTGTTGTGGCTGCTTTTATCGAAGTGATTTGTCGGTTTTATTTGCCTGTTACCTCTTATATGAAAAGCGGGACATTCTATGTTAAAACATTCATTCATATTTATAGAGTTCTTGCACAGTTCTTGGTGAAAAAAAATCACAGCTTTTGGTACATTTACCTGTACTTAGAAGGTTTCTGCACTTTATGGGATGATCATATTTACATATTCCATTTGTTTTTCCCGATATCCCATGTTTACAGATATCCTATTTATAATATCGGCAGGTTTTGGGTCCTTGTTTTGTTTGTTTCTCTTTACCCGATCCTGGCACCAATATCGCATCTGACTTGGTGCTGATACTGTGGCTGACCCTGGCATCTAGACCACACTGCTCTGGCTCCAAGACCTCGCCGGGATCTGACTCCACAACCACGCTGGGATCTGGCTTCAAAACAGATTGTACCTGGGTGTCCTGGACAGTTTGTTTGAAAACATTTGAGATTTCTGTGTGGGCATTTAGAAGTAATTCTCTGTGCTCCACTGGGGTTTTATCCAGAATTGCGATTATCTTCAAGGCAGTAATATTATCCTTTTTGCAGAACCAGTACACAGAGTGGTCTCTGAGACCAATTTTCCTTGCATTATTTGTCATGTTGGCACATTTACTGTGTATGGCTGCTGAACATAGTTGGCACTGGAAGCTCTGCTGACAATCTAATTTCATGTTACATTTTGTACACATCTTTACTAAAGATATTTTTACGTAATACCTCTGGTCAGTGGTGATGAAGCAATGGACCAGTGGGGGGGGGGGACCAGCTGGTAGGTGGTTGTATGAGTTGCCTGCCTCATGTCACACACTTAATTTGTGTAAACCCTGCATGTGTAAACTGGTCAGAATTGCATTTTACCTTTGTAAATGCACATTAATCACATAATGTAAAAACATGCCTTGAACACTGCTTTATGTAGAACAGATATATATCTATGCTTTTTTATATGTAGATTAGATTAGCATTTTAAAAATGCTACAATTGTCTTCTGTGGTTGATTGTTCAATGAACCATTGAACTACATGTTTAACCCTCTAACTGTCCATGAAGGACAGAACAATATGTATATACTGTACTGTATGGTGGTTAGCATTGTAAATAAATGCCACGTCTATGGTAGAAAATAAAACTGAAGCCTAATCAGTACTTAGCTCTCGGTACACGTTGTATCTTAGTTATCAGTACGAGACATCACGTTAATGTGTGATTTCTTTGTGCATTTGAAGAGAAGCATTGGAGGTAGAATTCCTGGACTACAAAGCCAGTGTGCATGGGGGTATTGTTTGATACCCCTGATCCCATAGGGCTCATGAGGCTTCAATGGAAGCCTAGAAACCCTAGAAGATTTAGTTGAATCCCATGTTGGAATTCTTTTACCATGTCATGGTGTAGTTGTTTCAGGCATTTGCTTGCTTGGTTTCCGAGTACCCAGAGCATAGGTTTGATTCCTCACGGTTCCTAGTGATTTTCTTTTAGAGTATTCTACGTGTTAATACCCGTACAGGGTATTATGTTAACACTATGTTAATACACTAACATAACACTAATTATATTACACTATGTTAACACCAATTTACGTTTCTGTGGCCTCATTTGTGTGGTGTTACACACAATGAACCGGCGCTGGCCTACTGCACGCAATCCAGTTTGTAGTAATTTCTTGATTTGGTGTACCAGAAAGGCCTCCCTGTAAGCGAGCCTGGGTGCAGGAGCATGGTGCAATATTGGGTCCCGAATGGATTTTGTATGCCAGGGGTGTCTTTGCCAAACTTACCTAGTAGTTGTTCCACAACTTGAAAACTAAACAAACAGAAAAATAGTTTTCTAAAAAAAAATCATGGTTTTCTATCTGTTTTCACAAGATACATGTTTTAACTGTTCAGCATTGTTACGTCAAGAAGGTGGAAAATCATCTTGGTCCACTTCTGTTTTCCGTACACTACAGCACCCACCATCATGTGACATTTATCGACTAAACGCATATTGATGTTGTAGTCCATTACACAATCTGGCTTATAGATTATTTGTTTTGTTGTTCTGTTCACCTTACCACTGTCCACCATTGTACCAGGGTGAATGGTGGTCAACATGTTCACTTCTTCACTTCACATCTGTCTTTCCACCAGACTGAAAAAATTCCACCACTTTTTCTTACCTCGCAATCACCTTCTTGCATAGCAATGTCAAACAAAGGCATTTACCTTCATTTTGGCTTTACTATGCACATACTCCAGTTCTATTATCATGCAAGAACCTGATTAGCAAGGGACTGGTATAATAGTTATCTATGTACAATATGTGCCCCTTGTTAAGATATGGTGCAAGCAGTGCATTCACCACACTACCTGAAAAGCCATGTGTCATTACCAGGAATGTCAACATGGCTTGTTCAGATATGGTGCAAGCAGTGCATTCACCACACTACCTGAGAAGCCATGTGTCATTACCAGGAATGTTTACATTTGTAGCCGAATACAGTACTGTATCATGTGTAACACCATTCCTGATTCAAAGTCACAGAGCACAGAATTTCAATCCAAATCGGTGGCGTTTTGAGGGAATATACTGCTTGAAGACAGCACGTCCTTTGAAAAGCACAAGGGATTCATTAATAACTGGCTTCTGAGCTGGTATGTAGTAATCTCTGAACTTTCCAATAAGGTCAGTTAGCACGTGCCTCACCCTCCAAAGTCTATCATCCTGTCTCATCTGCATTATTTGCAAAATATAGACACCGTAGGAGTATAAAAAATCGGTCTCAAGACATATATTTCATGAACAATAGTGTTGGAACAGTGTTGTCTTTGCTCCAATAATGGGATATTACGTGTTTCACACAATGTTTCATTAACATACACATGGCAAAAACACACACAGTTCACCTACAGCCGTTTATTTCCAACGGTGTAATCGTGAAAATTCTCATACATACCACCAATGAGATCAGTTGCAAGTCTGTTCGTTTCATGGACAATATGTTCCATGAGCAGCTCATCAAAATATGCAGTGAAGAAGTCCATTTCACTCATTTCGTCACCTGTATCGGGGAAAAGATCTGTAATCCCCACATCTTTTTTTTCAAAGGCGGAAGTTGATGGAACAAAATCTTCCCCATCACTCCACACAAATAAACGTGGTGTCTTCCGATAGGCAACAGCTGCACCACGGCGAGGAATTCGTGGACCAGGAGCTGAAGCAGGTCTAGCAACAGTAAGGGCAGGAAGAGACGATTAGGGAAACATAATTGAAGATGAGGGGATTTGTTCCTCATTGTCGCCATATTGTTCCATTCGGCGGCACTTGGCTGGGCAGGCGGGCTGCTGATGCGATGAAACCTCTTGGCAACATCACAACTGACTAGCAGGCGTGGCAAAACTATTCTCTGTTTCTAAATCACTAAAACCAGAGAATGGTGATTCACCTGTTTCAGACACATCGATCAAATCATCATAATCTTGCAATGTAACACATGAACTGTGCGCTTTGGCATGAAGTGGTGTTGAGTGGTGATGAGTAGTAACGAGTGACACTCTTGGCAACCTCACCCTCGTAGCACCAACATGTTCACTCACTATCCGTTGTTACAATATCCTCAGTGTATAGTCCTCATCTATATCCGAGTCATCAATATCAGGTTCATCAAGGTCATTGAACAATTCATTAGTAATTTTGTCTTCGGTCAATGACTGCGTGGTGCGTTGAGCGAGGTTGGATGCTGGGTTGTGATGCACTCGCCATTGTATGTGGTCGGTAACTAAGGCCTGTGAGACAAAAGAGGCCTGCACTAGATTTTTTTCAAGATGGCGTCTGTTTACAATCGCCCTTGGCTTCGCTACAGGTGACCCCATTTACACTACGGTCCATTTGAATCGTCCCCGGCGCCCTGTGTCGTATATATATGCCATGCGCAGTTTAAGGGTTAAGCTTTAACTTTTCAACCATCTACAGAGACTGAAATATTGGGTAGTTTTTTTTCATGCTGTGTCCATAACGACCATCTTTTTAAACACAGCTCAATCCTTGTACTGTTAAGTAATTAAAACAAGTTATCTAATAGATCTTCCTATTCCTCTCCCTCTTGACCCATTTCCTACCCCTTAATCTCCACCACCACTGTTACCACTACAACCACCATTACGAACACTGCATTATCACTACCGGAAACAACCCCTTACCCCTTCCCTGCAGCAGCTTGTACTTATTTAACCAGTATTTCCTGCAATCATTTAACAGAGGTATGCCATTGTTCTCATTATGATTATCATAATGAGTTCTCATTATGATTATTTTAATAAGAACAATGATTTTCATTTTCTTTTATCCTTATTTGATTGGTTGCTAGAATAATATTTTCTCTGTTGCAGATTGATGGCAAAGTACTCCAAAAAGCTTGTGAGCAAGTGCATCTACCTCAACATTCTGCAGGCAACTGATTTGCCACTGATTGACTTGTGAGTACTGGCTGCCTTTCATATGGATTGTTAATTTGTCTTGCTTGCCTGTGCTTGGGTTTACTCTTTATCCCTAGTACTATCTTCTGCTTCTCTTTGTTTTTACTGGTGGATCATTCCATGCCAAATCGTCTTGGCTCTCAACCCAGTCATCTCAGATATATAAACACTTGAAATTTGGTACATCTTGAGGTTATCTTGAGATGATTTCGGGGCTTTTAGTGTCCCCGCGGCCCGGTCCTCGACCAGGCCTCCACCCCCAGGAAGCAGCCCGTGACAGCTGACTAACACCCATGTACCTATTTTACTGCTAGGTAACAGGGGCATAGGGTGAAAGAAACTCTGCCCATTGTTTCTCGCCGGTGCCTGGGATCGAACCCAGGTCCACAGGATCACAAGTCCCGCGTGCTGTCCGCTCGGCCGACCGGCTCCCTTTAGAGGACATGGTAGAGGACGTGAAGTAACTTAGGCAAATTTTTAGTGCTCGGTGATGAGCAATATTCGTACAGAAAGGTTGCTAAAGGGAAAACAAAAAAAATTTTACTTATAAGCTTGAAAAAATCTAATTCCGTAATTGCTTCTAAATGACCTAGAATATATAAAAAGTGAATTTTCATATTGTTGGGGAATTTTATTTGTTCATACATATTAATATATATATATATATATATTGCCCATATACTGTATTGTATAGTTAAATACTTTCTCTCTCTGGTATAAGTTTCATTTTGAAATGGCTTTGGGAACGAGAGTAAAAATGATAAAGGCCAGGAGTGTATTAGTTACACACTTCTTGCACCAAACATGCATCAAACAAGTTCAGACTTGGCTGATAGGCTCTCTCATTCTGTAGGGTTGCCAATTTAGTTAAATTTTTGGTACATTTAGCTCCATCTTACATGTAGTTCCTAATTTACCATCAAATTTTCTGCGCAATTATTAAAACTGACATAAAAACTGGCGTAGATGATAGTTTTTTGTGTTCATTCAGACTCGGCTTCAACTTTTAATTTTAACTCCATATACTAACAAATTTAGCTCTTGTTGAAAAATTTCAACATACAATATCACCCATTGTAACACCTTACTTATTTTTTACTGCTGCTGTGCCATTTGATACCAAATGTGTTGCAATGTACTTTTTAACCATTGCCCCACACACTATCAAGTTTTCACAACTTACAGATGTATGTGTCGAGGCATACTGTACTAGTCCCTAGCACCACGGAAGCTTTACCAAGACTGAGAATCAGTGATTCCAAATGAAACTCCTTAAAAAAAAACTAAATCTGTTAAAAAATAAAGTAAATAAATTTTAAGTTGAAGCTTAGTGGGATCTGAACTAGGTAGGCTACCACAAGGTAGGTAGGCAGCTTTATGAAGAAACTTTTCATAAGAGTCATCCACATGTCAGTTTTTATGTGTTTAATTTACTGCTGAGAATTTTATTGTAATTTAGGAGCTCGATGTACCCAGAGCATAGGTTCGAATCTTCACGGTTCCTACTGATTTTCTCATTGAGATGTCGCGTTAATGTGATTTCTTTGTGCACTAGATGGGAAACAACTTGAGCTAAATGTACCAAAAAAGAGCTAAATTTAGCCCTGCTGAAAAATACAGAGATACACATTAGACCAGTGTGAACTTGCCTGATTCATTTTTGGTGCAAGAAGGGTTTAACTGCTACACACCTGAACTTTATCATTTTTACTCCTGTTCCCAAAGCCATTTCAAAATGAACCTTATACCAAAAAGAGAATGCATTTAAGGGGCCTGGTGACGGTGCACCGAAACTTCCTCACATTAAATTTGTTTGTGAATAATATCTTCATGGTAAATGCTCCAACTTTTCCTAATGGATCAACATCATACCATGAACAGAAAAAAGTTAAACAAAAAAGTAACAATTACAAATTAATGATAAAAATATTAAAATGTCACCAATTGTTACTTTATTCATTATAGCCTCAGAATGGCATATACTGTTTGTTCCTTTTTTTTTTGAAAAATATTGTTTGAGAGTATTTACTGTAAAACATTTTTACAATGTGGCCATCCAAATATGTGCCAAATTTAAAACTCCAAATATTATGGCTTTATGACTACACAACAAAAAAGAAACCTTAGAACTAAGAACTTTTGCACATATGTTAAAATGGTGAGAATCAGTCAGACACTGAATTTTTTATCAGGTCTCAGTTTAAAATTCTGTTCATACAAAACAATGAAGTTAAAGTTCTCAACATTGTATATAGTACTTCAAATTTATGACATATCTTGTAAATTTTAATTAAGATTGCTTGGCATTTGTACTCAAATATGTGGAAGTTATAGGTCAATATGTGTTGAAATGAACTCAAGAAAAAATACCCCCCTCCCCACACACACACAAAAAAAAATATATATATAGGGATAGATTAGGGATAACAAACATATATTACAGTAACTTTATTGCCCATATATATAAATGATAAGGCCCTCATCTGGTCCTCATTCATCTATACAACCTAAAGAGAGAAAGAGAATAGAGTTCGAAATCTGCAAATAAATTGGCCCCCAAAAAATAAAAGTCAACAACTTCTGCCACCTGTGGCTGACCAATTTAACATGTTGACTAATTTTGTTCTAACTTTACATACTTGGTGCTGGATATGCATTCTCCAAGATGTAGAGGTTACAACAAAATCCTCATAGAAATAAAGGAGGTTACCTTGAGGTGCTTCCGGGGCTTAGCGTCCCCGTGGCCTGGTCGTCGACCAGGAGAGAAAAATAGAAAAACACAACAAAAGTGGTTGTCAGCATTTAGTACAAGGGGACATTACAAATATTGCCATTGGGCAATATATTTATATGATATATAATAAAATACATACTAACTCATTATTATGTGTGAAATCTGGCCCTCCAGGTGGCACCAGCTGCATATCCACTTTTGTAGACTTTACTACACTGTACTACTATTCTTCTTTGTGCGTCGGAGAAGTGCTTGCATCTCTTTATCCCTGATTTCCAGTAAACAGGTGGTGTCATTGCTGTTATCAGTACCGGTTGACCCCCATCTCACACGCATTTACTGTTTAAAAATTCATAAAAATCCACTCATGAACATGCAGTATTGGGAAGAAATTTCACGACGATGCCAAATAACGGGAGATTTGTTAAAAAATTTCATATATTTCACACTTGAAAAAAATACTCCTCCATCACTGGGCCCTGTACCCCATAACTGTGTAACATATTTAACGTAAATATTTTACTTTTTTTTTTTTTTACCTTTAACACAAAAATTACGTTATAAAGATTTAACGCCAAAAACTTTAATTTTTATTTTAAATATTCTTTTTTTTTTTACATATTCAAGGGCAAAAGTCATATCATATTATTGCAATGAAAAATTAAACATTTAATTTAAAAAATTTTCAATTAAGATAATGTTTCCTTAGTTTTTAAACAAAAAGTATGAAGATTCTACATCAATTAGAAGCAAAGTTGTTATTTTTAGGGAAATAAAATACTGTAGTATTTTTATCACATTGGTAACCCAGCTACAGTACGTGAATAGCATGCATTGCTGAGAGCTAAGATTTTGCATGTGTAAGTTTCTTCATATAGCTACCTGACATACGAATCACAGCCTGATCAATCAGGTATTCTTTGAGGGTGTTTGTCGCGTTCTCTCTTGAACACTGTAAGAGACCGGCCTGTTATGCCCCTTACGTGTTGCGGGACAGTGTTGAAAAGTGTTGGTCCCTTGATGTTGATAAGAGTTCTCCCTCAGCATATCTATTGCACTTCTGCTTTTCAGCGGGGGTATATTCTGCCATGCCTACTGGTTTTATTTGGTGTAATCTCTGTTCAGATTTGGAACCAATCCCTCTAATAGTTTCCACGTACAGTATGTACTTACCATCCTACCAAATTTCATGTAAATATAAGAGTGTCAGGTTGAGAAATCGACTTCTTGTGATTGGCATGGAATGACCCATGACATGTCATTGATGGCTTTTATATCATATCTTTTTAATTTGGTCGACCATTGTGTCTTGTGGTCTTTTCTGTTTTCCATGCGTTTGAGATTTTGTTCTGGTGCTTGTTTTTTTCCTGAATACGGTACTTTGATGCTTGCACTTTAGTTACAGCAGCCTACCATAGCCACAGATATTAACAAATAAAATTACAGGTCAATCTTGAGTCAACAAACTACATGGGACTAACCCCAATTCATTGTAATTAGAGATGCCTCCATGATGCATTTTCCATCCCCTGTGGGCTAATTTTAATTTCACTTTGCCACATTTTCAATTCATCCTATAAAATAAACAGAGGTCATTATAAATAAACATACAAGCATCAGATGTATAATAAACGTCAGAGGTGCACGGTTGTTCAACATCCTCCCAGCAAGTATAAGAAATGTTGCCAGAACACCCGTGGACATCTTCAAGAGAAAACTAGATAATTTTCTTAAAGAAGTGCCGGACTAACCGGACTATGGTAGATATGTGAGCCTGCGGGCCGCTCCAAATAACAGCCTGGTGAACCTAGTTCTCACAAGTCAGGGCTTGCCTCGGGCCGGGCTTGGGGAGTAGAACTCCCAGAACCCCATCAAGCAGGTACATATAATAGACAACTACCAAATGAACATGTCTGCAAAGAAATTTAACCACACCTAGCTTCATTCTCACATCACCAGCCTCAAAATTCATGTTCAAAAGGTAGCAGGACCATACCTAAGTGAACAAAATCCTAATCAAATCAAAATGAAAACAAAGCATAGAATTTGGTTTTAGATATCCTCAATAGATTTTCCAAGGCTCCAACTATTTGTTGAGTCCATCTACAGAAATCATCAAAAACATGATTCGAGCATATTAAGAGTTACCATTCATTCTCCAATATTTCCCACACTCGGTGAACTAATTTCACTGAATGACATTTTAATTTCAACCTGTCATATGAAGAACAACTACTAAGAAAATATGTATATAAAGAGATTTAAC